GCCCAGGAGGAGAGCGAGGCCGGGGGGCTCCAGAGGTTCCTGTACTCCGGACCCTCGCCCTCGGGGCCCGGGGGTCGGACCTCGGGAGGCTGCAGCGGAACCGAGGACCCCCAGGAGGCCAGTGTCCCTTTGGAGGTGGCAGCGCTGGGACCGGACGCCTTGAGACGCGCTCGTGGGCTTTCGACCCCTGCTTTCCAGCGTTTCCAGCCAGATTCCACGGGGGGAAAGCAAGGTGAGTTGGTCTTTCTTTTCCTCTTTGCAAAAGAAAATGGTTGTTCCCGAGAGAAAGTTTGTGAAACAAGCAGCCTTGACCTGGAGGTGGACAATAAAAGTTGTGTGAAAAGCTCAGCCAGTGGCTCAGTGGTGGAGCCTCGACCTATGAACCAGGAGGTCACCGTGCCATTCGTGGTCAAGGGCACATGCCCAGGTCTGGGGCTCCATCCCCAGTGTGGGGCGTGTAGGAGGCAGCCAATTCATCATACCCTCATTATTGATCTCTCTCTCTCTCTCTCTCTCTCTCTCTCTCCCTCCCTCCCTCTCTCTCCCTTCCTCTCTAAATCAATTAAAAATATATTTTTAAGAGTTGTTTAAAAGAAGCACTAAGTTCTGGAAAACTGCTCTGCAATAGGACGTGAATAAGGGTGGCTGAGACCCATCACATTCACTTTGGAAAAGCTTTCAGTTCCTTCCAGTGGTTCTCAACCTTCCTAATGCCGCGACCCTTTAATACAGTTCCTCATGTTGTGGTGACCCCCAATTTCATTGTTACAAATTGAACCTAATTAAAGCATAGTGATTAACCACAAAACAACATGTAATTATATATGTGTTTTCCTATGGTCTTAGGCGACCCCTGTGAAAGGGTTGTTCGATCGCCAAAGGGGTCGCGACCCACAGGTTGAGAACCGCTGCTGAGTTTTAGGCGATAGGATAAGATAATGAAAAAAGTGAAGGGTGAGTAATAAGATGAGCAACTTATGTTAGGAATGGAGTTTGTGCCCCAGGTTCTGTGACTTCCTGTGAGTAGTCATTGAGTGAAAAGCTTAGTGAGAGTGGCTGCGTTTTGAGCTTGATCCGCACTGTTTCCAGCTATAAAACCAGAGTCAACCTTCTGATCTTGTGTGGGAAACTCACTGATGGTTGAGAGTAGGTTCCTAACCTTTGGGGCAACTTTCTGGAGCCAGCTAGAAGTGGGGAAGAGACTGACATCCACCAAAGCCTCTTTTCATCCCAGAATCTTCAAAATTTTTAAGCATTCCACCCAATCCTCACTTGTCAGCCTCCTAAAGTGTAAAATGTTCTAATATTTGAAATTTCAGCTCTTCCTATGGGGGGAAAATTTCACTTCTCCACCGTGTGAAAACACAGATAAGAATTTCAAAGTCCAATATTAGGGATTTCTTACCCATGGTCCTAGATTATGAAAACTGCAGATCTTATATCACAGCATGTGCTTTTGATAAAAAACTATTTCTGTATTTACGTAAGGCATATATGATTTTTTTCACCTATGCCATTTCTTGCCCATGTTTTAGTTTATTTCATCAGACAAAATAGACTTCAAACATTTCTTATGAAAAATCAGAGAGGGCTGAAGAGCAGGGTTATTAATCAAAACTACTATAAAAAAAAGAAGTAACAGTTAAAATTCTACAAATTAAATTGACAGTGGGATCTGGCTGACAGACCTCTGCTGCATACCGATGGATGTATTTTTCTTGGAGGGGTCCCAAAGTGCTCTGTTCCATACGGTCAATTACGTTATTTTATTCTTTGGCTCAGTTGACCCCTTTTTTGGAAGACTAGTTTCACGGCTTTTCTAAACTGCCTCTTCTTACACAATATCCATGAACTGTGGGAAGGCACTTAATTTACTCATTCATGAGACAAAGACTAACAATGATTCAGAGGAATATAAA